TTTCAGTCAGCAAAAGAATTACAGTCAAAAAGATCTTACTTGTTTACTGCTGCATGAAGTGCTTTTTCTTTCATTTGGGATAGCACTGGAAAATAACACTTTAAAATAACACTGTCCTTACCTGACTGCTGACTTTATACTGCTTGCTGATATTTTCTGGGAAGGCTGGTACCATCATCATACTTTCCTCAGCTGCTGAAAAAGTAGAGCCAAAACCTGAAGAGTAAAGACATGAAAGCACTGTTAATAACACTGTGTAACAAGGTCCCTATTCCATGGGGGCATTAAAACTGCATGTAAGTAATGTGCCGAAAGAAATGCTGAAAAAAGTGAATTTGATAAAAAGAAACTTTACAGTATCCATTACAAAAATATGTAAGGACAAACATTTCTAAAACACATACATGTATGTACACATAAAAATATTCTGTGTCTTTTTATGTACAGTTACAGGCATGCACATACGTATTACTGTATATTTATATATATATATATTTCTCTCCATAGTATATTTGTATAGTACACATAGGAAATGTACACACACACTGCTTATGTATACTCTGTTTATTGAGCCTTGGCATGCATCAGAGTTAGACTTAAAGCCAAAAGCAGCACCAGTAGGCAGAACCAGCTGCGAATTTCACTGCTTGAAAACAGAGTCCAGAGAGTAAGTGGGATGTTTTCCGTTAGCACTATTTCTGGCTATATGTTTTAGATGTTCCCCTTAATCACTTCATGCAGCAGAGATTACTTGGCTTACTTGAACAGTCGGTGATGGATCTGGCACCAACAATGGTTGTTGTTCCATAAAAGGGACAGGACAAGCAGTAGGACTTCCCTGGGTCTGGTTGATAGTAGTCTCTGGGACAAGGGTAGCAAGGTGTCAAACCTGTGCGAGAGAACTCGCCTGCAAGACATGGTACTGCAAGAGGAAGGAAACCTTTTTGAGTGACCTGATCTCTTGCATGCGCACCTCACTTCCCTCCACCTCTTTATTATCACTCTTTCTTCTCCTGTCATAGTGTCTTCTTAGATTTAAAAGGAACAAGATGAAATCTGCCAGGAATTCACAACTCTGGGAAACGTTAATTTAAAATCTTCTGTGAGATGCCATCTTGTTCTCAAAGGACTATGGCAATATCTGGGAAGTATTTAATTCTACTACTTTTGCTGCTCCGGAGGCAGCTTTTAAATGGAACTTCCTTTTTTTCTTTCACACCTGTTTTTTGGTTATTGTTTGGTTGGGGTTTTTTAAAAATTTGTTTGTTTGATTCAGTTGTTGGGTTTTTCCCCTACGAGAAGAAGTAAGGACAAAGACAAGACTTTTTTGCACCTTGAATCCTTACAGACTATTTTCCTGGGAATTCTTCTGGCAAAGCTTGCCAAAGACAATTGAGGAGAACTTCTTTGAAAAAATTACTGAGCAAACTGTGTTCAAATTCAGAACTTTTGTATAGAAAACAATGGAGAAATAATAGTGACAATTTCCTTTCTCTTCTGTAAGGAAAAATTTTCATTTAGGTACCCATCACATATCTCATTTTATTCCTCATTATATGAGAATCAGAAGGAGGGGAATTGGTAACAGGAAATGACCTATCATTTTGATGGAAATATTCCTTGGTCTACACTTAACCAGAATAGGAATTCAGTCTCAGGCTGATGAATTGGATAACATTAGCTGATATTTAAACAACAATTTTTAATATTTAGTCTAAAAAATATTAATTACCCTTTTTGTTACAAACCTCCACAAGCTGAGACATCCACTGCACCTCTTTTTACTGTTGACGTATTTTCTGGACAAGAGATGCAATTCCTGGATCCAAATGAAGGCTGATATGTTCCAAGTGGACAAGTTTCACACGTCTCAAGGCCATTAGGTGAATAAGTTCCCTGCTTGCACTGAGCTATAAGGCAAAAGAGTTCAGAAAGTTTGAGCAATGTCCAACAGGAAACAGGGCTTCTGATCTCTGACAATAATGTTGAAATCACTATACACATCACAAGGAATTTTATTTCTGGACCACACTCTACTCTGAAGGACTTAACGGGTACAAAGAGCAAAAAAAAAGACTGTTGTGGTAGCGTACTGATAGTGCAATTATGAATTATTAACAAGTGACTTCTCTGCAATCAGCCTCACAGATTACTTACTGCAACTCAGTTACTCATTTTAATCAACAAAACTAAAGGCAATAAAGACAATAAAAATTAAATCAAACTAGCTATTTCCTTTTCAGAAGAACTCATGAACACATAGCGGTTCTGTGCTGTTCAATGGCTCAGCACTGTAGGGTAGGATGGAAAGTGGCTGGCAAGGATGACAACGGAATTATTTTAAGTGTATTAGTGTCTGAAAAATGCAATCACAGAAATGAAATACAGAAATGAAAGCCAGGAATTAAACAAAGCATCACAGGCCCACTCTTAGAACCTCTGCCTGGGCATCCCACATGGTAGAGCAGTGATGAAAACATATATTTACATATGCATTAAGGTGCAGTTAGGACTGCTCCTCGTTTCACACGCTAGCTTCATTCCAGTACTTCCACCATGTCCAAAAGGATGTCACCAAGAATTCACAAGTGGCTGTCCCAATAAGACAGAAGTCCCTACCTTTGCACTCGGAGATGCTTCTAGAGTGTAGATACTCAGTATAGCTACCAGATGGACAACTTTTGCATTCCAGCTGCCCTTCCTCATCTTGATAGGATCCAGTCCAGCAGCTTTCACAGGTAAGATGTTCCAGGGAGTAATACGTACCCAAAGGGCAGTTGACTGTAATGTAATGTTGGAAACCTAAGTTTCCCTCAGAGTGAAAAATCATACATACCTCTCTTGCCCCCGGAGTTCCCATTTATTCAAACAAAGTTTTATGAAATGTGGCTCTGTTCCCCAGCAGGTAGGGAGATATCTCTCTGGAACACTGCAAAGATTTAATTATCCACAAGAAATGGAATCCAATATCCACCTTAGCTACACATCACTCACAGGACTAACAGGGTTAAAAGACTGCATACCAAGCACTGTTTTCTCTGCATGGCCAAGCAAGGATATGCCTGATTTCCCCCTGGGAGTGGAATCCTGGGTACAAAGGATCCCTTTTCCACAGGCCTTGGTTAGGAATATAAACATCCTTTGGAAGTCAAACTGTGCAAAGCATTTTTGCAGTTTATTGTTATGGGAGACCACAAACACTGGACTGTGTCAAATCATAACCCTCAGCAAACATCCTCCAAAAGCTTGTTTTGCAAAAGGATTTTAAACACACATAAGAAACAAGTTATCTGGCTTACCACACATTCTCCCTCTCAGCACAGAACCAGGCCTGCAGAAAAGAAAGGCTTTCTCGGTCTCCAGTGAGTTGGTGTCAGCTACAATGAGTTCAGATGCAAACTGAAAAGAATATATAGGTTCCTTATTGAGAGTTCTATTCAGCCTGTTTGTGATCGTTTCCAGAGTTTTAAGGAGCCGTCTCTGGTTTTCCAGTTCCACTGTATCATTCCTTTCATCAGGCAGTGGCACGCTAGCTGGAATATAAACAGCAAACACAAAAAATACACAAATTTTGCAGTCAGCACTTCTGGCGTACTCTGGAACTTATCAAGAGTGCAGCACTAAAGCTTGCCAGTGGAAAGTGAAAAGGAGGCCATGTGCACAAAGCTCTCCATGACAATGAGGCTGTGATCTTTCCCTCAAGAAGAAAGTCTGTTATGAAATGGGGCTATCAAATTTATCCAGAGAACTGCCATCTGCATCTTCACCAGGCTTCTGTGAGCTAAAGAATTTTTACTGAATCTCTTAGAGACACAATTTTTAAAAAGAAGGAAGCAGAGAAGTTCGGTGTTTTGACTTGTCTCACCTGTAATGTTAAATATTAACTTGATTTTTTGGTCAGTCATTGGAACATTCAGCTTATGCCTTTTGACCCGAGCAGGTGCTGCTTTTACAGAGGCAGAGAGATGCTTGGGTAAATCCTCTCCTTGTACAGCATCAACAAAATCACCATAGGAATAATCCAGGTGGTTTGCTGTTCCCCAGCCAGCAGGTCCTGTGGGATATTAAGAAAAAACCAAAAAGAAATCAACATCATGTGGAAAATAAGTACCCTCACTTACTTCTAAAATACAACTCCAACATAATCTGTCTGAAGCTCTGGATGATATGTGCTGGCTTTGAATCTGTACAAGTGGCCACTGTACCTGAGTTTTTACTAACAAAAAATTTTACTCCTGACTGATACCTTAGAGGTCTTGAGTCTGGTGAAATCAGTCAAAGTTTTAAAGAACTAGTTATAATAGTCACATATTGCAATTCTTTCTCTTCATGCCTTGCATAAACCCTCACATGCACCTTCATCTGCCAGCAACTTCTTCAACAATTCCATATTGCCTTTGATTCCACCTCTTGCCAGCTTACACTATGCCATGTCTCCACTGCATCTTCTACTAACAACTCCTGAACAGTTCTAACATTGTCTGGCCTCTCAGAAAAGGCATCACCCTGTCTGTGTATTACCCCCAGACAGGCATTTCTTGTTATACACAGTGAGTCAAATTCACCCTTCTTTAATGTCCTTCATCACTCTAACATGATTTCAAACAAAATATTTTGTGTACGTAATCTACTTTTTCATGATTACTAAATCTAGAGGGATGTGGTCTATTTCATTGATCTAGATTATTTTTTTAAAGATATGAAGACAGAAAAAAAAATCTGCCGATTATCTGTTAGCATCACAAATATTGTTTTGTTTACAGTGGTAACTAGGACAAGTTAACTCCACAGTTTAATACTGTGTGTTTCACAACTGATTTTCTAAACTGCTGTCTCTTATGCCTTGAAGAGAGTTCTCTCCTGCTTCCACAGCGTAAAATTATGAGAAACTCCTGGCAAAACAGCAACAAGGTTATTTTGGTAAGAGGTTGACATGAACCAGAAGAGAATAGGACACTAAATTCCATGTCTGTAAGTGTTTTTTCCACATGCCTTTACAGATTAGTTCCAGCTGTCATTGGCTTTCATTCTTACCCTGATGACAACTGCAGACTGAATGTCCAGACCTGCCCCATGTCTGAGCACAAACAAATGCCCTCAGAGTGAAGCATCATAAAAGGTGAGCACAAGCAGGAAGTTCTAACAAGTAACTCCACTATAAACCTGTGGAAGAGACACAGTCCTATGACAGATTCTGATGTGGATCTGCCAAAATGCCTCCTGCTAAGATAGGTAATGTAAGTTCTCCACTTTCAGCTTTTCTGCTCCCAGCAACCTTACAGGACTCAGAAAGGCCAAGAATAACAGCAGTACAAGATGGTCACTAAGCCATTCAAAAATGGACTGAAAATGACAACATACTTACTTTGGCATGAACCAAAGTGGGAACAACCACTAGGATGGTTATGGCTTTCACTCAGATATTGCCACAGTCATGGTGCAAAATCTGCCTGTGCATGCAGGAAGCATTTTCACAGCAAATAAGCCAACTTAAGCGCATACAGCTTTACACAGTGATGATTCTGTGGAGATCTGAACTGGCATCACAGATGCTCCTCATTTTCTTAACAACTTCCAAATCTATTTATTGTAGCTTTTCAGTATTTTGGTTTTAAACTATGTTTTTAAGAAGTTCCTTTTTTCTAGGCTAACCAAGCAGGTTTCTAGGACTCTGTGTGTGTGTGTGCTTTTTTTCCCTCCCCACCATAAGGCATCCCAGGAAATTCTACCCCACATTATATAGGAAGCAGCATTGATACAAGATATCAAAAAGTTCCACAATATTTTTATAAAACCTTTTATGCAATTGCTGATTACCTTATGAGTACCACAGTTACTTAAAAAAAAAAAAAAAAAGAAAATCTCACTAAAGACATTGTGGAAAGAACCATGCTGCTTTAAACCTGGATGGCTAAGAACCTATGGAATCAATAATTACCAATGGCAAATCCATTTTCGTAATCATAATTATATTCCAAGCAGTGTTTCTGTGTCTGATCTTCCAATCTGCAGTCAATATCATCAACATCATTGCAGAATGATGGGACCTTTCAACATAAAGAAGAATAACTTTAAGAACATAAAACCACATAGCTCTCTCCCCTGACTTACAAAAACTTCTAATTGCAATGCAAAGTACTGGTTCTGTCAGTGACACTGGATTTCCCATTTCATGTCTCTTATAACCCTGGCGAGGTCTGCTGGAAGACCATGTTTTATTGATACAGCTTGGAAGTAAGAAAGCAATTTACATGAGTACAATCTCTTCATTATAGATATTTTTTTTTTTTAAGAGAAGATTTCAATTCATTACTCTTGCAAATAATCACTCTTGCATGCCAAATCTAAGAATACAGAAATGAATTCAGGCATTTTTCTCCCTGCCAAAGAGGAGTGAAGAACTCGTATTTATAAAGCACCTGTGTTTTCTCCAGCTATGTTACTTGTAATTCTGTCAGGTTTAAAACAATGCTGTCACTTTTTTCTAGCTTTCAAACCTTACTTCTTCAAATTCTTGTGAATAGTAATAAGCATATTCAAAACAGCCTTTCTAAAGGTTTTTCAAGACTGTTGCATTTATATGTAAATGCTTGGATAGGTCACTACCCACTTTTTTCTTATCTTTTACATGCAAATAGGATCGGTCCAAGCACTGGAACCTGGTGGCACCAGGGAAAGAAACAGAAATAAAACCAATCAAGATTTCTCTACTGGAAAGAACAAACCTGAATAAGGGCAAGTGAGTAACAGACATTTATGTCCAAGTGTTAGACATTGCCTGACATCTCACCTAACTTTTCAGCCACTTGGCAAGTGTTACTGACATATGTTCCAAAGCTGCAGGAGTTTGCCTACGATCTGTATGTTCTAACAATGACTTTTTTAGTTAGTAGACAACCTTTTATTAGAATATGGGCTTTATTCTGCAAAAACACCTGTAGATGCCCAGTTTTCTCTACTGGAAAAATGATGTCGCACTAGGCCAGGACATTCACTCCTGGGATCAGAACTCAACATTCTGCTGGTTCTGCTTCTCAGATGAGGAGAGATTTGTGGATTAACAGGGGAGATTGTGATATTAAAGTGGAGAGCAAGAGTCATGGCAGAGAAGAAAGACAGGGCCTCTTCAAATTCAGTATTGCGCAGTTCTTAATGATAAGAGTGAGAATTCAGAAACTCATGAAACCTGACCAGATCACTGCTACTGGATTTCAGTGCCTGGAGGTACACACCAAATGTGGAATGTATCCATTTGTACACGTGTGTGTTAATTCATACTATCTGGTTATATATCATACATATCCTATACAAAATGCATTTATTTTATGATCCCATCCAACTTTCAAAAACTGAGGGGACAATTGATTGGGGGTTTCAAAACTACACAGGTTCTCTTTGGAAGCCTACTGAAAATCTTGGATACTTGTATAAATTCTGTCCTGTAAAAGTCCACATTGGAGACCAAACTGAATTACATTAAAATACCACTGAACCATCTTAATTTTTAAAAATATCTTGTTACCCTCTGAAAAATCTCAGATTTAATTTCAAAGCTTCTGCTGTCAATTTCCTTCTATAAAATTAGATATTTGGAAAAAGTAACAATATTTTTCAAAAAGTATGCAAAGAGAAGGAGTATTTACTAACCTACCATTTTACCAAGTGCACTCTGAAATGCTTCAGTAAAGCTGTTTAGAAGACTGTTGTCATCACATCGTGTTGCTTTGTAGAGCATTTCAAAGGATTTGAATCCATGATTTGCAAAACGATTTACTGAAAAATGTTGGAGAAATAAATTTTTATTGATCAGTGCAAGAGTTTCAGAACTAAAATCAAGACAATTTAGGCTAAAACTGAAATACAAGAAGGTAAGTGCAGTCTAGCAATCCAAATGGATCACTTACATCTCAGTCAATGATTTGACCCTTTGGCAGGCACAAAATTTACTAGAAAAGTTTGAAGAAATTAAAACCCAGGTAACTTTTCTACTTCAGTTTTTTCTCAATGGAAGAAAACAATGAACTGCCAACTAAACTCCATGCTGACTTCTGAGAGGAATGCCATAAATATGAAAGTCTTATTACTAATGCTGCTAGACTAAATATAAAAATTCTTATCCAGAAATTAAGCCAAGTTCTGAAGTGTCCAAGTTACGGATTTTGAACTGGCAGCTCTGAAACATAACTCTAGCTTGTTCATAGCTGAAACACTGATCTTTTATTGCTGAAACCAATAAATTGACTCTGATGGAAGTGGATGCAACATGGTACCAAGACTGGCTTCAAATGTAGTTCTAATACATATATTATAAAAATGTCACTAAATGTGCAAAATTCCACCACTGAAATTTCGCATGTGTCCCTCTCAAAGAGAACACATAAGCTCTTCTAATCTGGTGGTAATTAGATATGTAAGCACAGCAAACACTGTGAATTTCAATTAGTAAATTGCAAAGACTGTTGTATTCTTATTAAAAAGACACTGATGTGTTTGTTAGCAAACTGTTTCAATTAACCTGTTTGTTTTGCCATCGTTGCTATTTTGTGACTCCTGGAATTGAAATTCACTGCTACTTTTGTGATCCAGACAGCTTCTGAAAAAACATATTTACAGACTTCCAAACATTATTTCACCATCTTTGTAACAATTCAGAGGCAGAGGACAATGTATATTTGTTATATAAATAAATAGAAGTCAGATTTTCTAAAATATTTTCAATTGCTTTCTCATTAAATTTAGTGTTTCATGAGTTGCAAATCCATTCTAATAACAGTAAGACTTACAAGAGCAGCTAGGCCACTCTGGAGAATAAGGTGGCTTCCAGAGACCATCATCATATGCACAATAGTAGTTTTCACTTGTTCCTTCTGAAAGGCTGTAACCCTCTGCACAGTGCAATGTGCAATTAACTCCTGCTTCATCTGATGTGCATACAAAATCACCATTCACAGGCTCAAAGGAAACATCACAGGGAGAACCTATGAAAAGTACAAAGATTTATATATCAATTAATGTGGTGAAATAAGTGATCCTGCATGAAAACAGCACTGATAGGATTTCCAAAAGTACCTAGTATTGATTTGATCTTGCCTCTGTTGAAGTTTGTGGAAGCATTATTTGCTATTCCCATAAAGTCAGGATCAGGCTACTGCTAAGTAATTCTCAAATTCTGCTATTGCAATCAGAAAATGAGAAACATGAAGACTTCAAAAAAAAGTTATACATATGAAAAACTGTTTATTAAAATAATTTAAAACATCTAAGTTTAAAAAACTAAGTTTTCACATAAACTTTATACAATGAATTCTAGTAAAGTATACTACATCTTGAATTCTGAAATTAAACATTAAACATTCTGGACCCTCACAATAACATATGAGTTCATTAGAATCATCTTAGGATACCCTCATGCCCTCAGTTATGACTCATGTTTCAGGCCAGCTGTGAAGGAAGCTGTGAATGTCTGTAGAAACTATGTCACAAACAGGGAACCACAAAAAGTCTGAGACGATATAGACCTTGGAACAATGCCAGTTCCAAGCACTGGTGGTTCTTGCTGAGCTTTAGAGCAAATCAGAGACTAGCACATTCATCTTCAACTCACCTTTCCTGAAAGCTATACCAAAATTCCTGTCTGCATGATTTTAAATTCTCTCTTCACTAACAGATATTTTTATACAGATGTCCAACTGAGACATAGAAAGTAGAAAGCAGATATAAAGTAGATTTTTCATTCTTAATATAATTTATGTGCCAAATGATTTCTTTGATTTTTAATGAAAGAGGGAACTATGGGGAAGAGATGTTTATGCAATAAACAAAATGCAGTAGTATATCTAAAGATAAAGGCATATTCCAAAATCTAAAGAGTGTTTTATTATCTGCTGCTGTATTATACTAACATTGGTATTTGCATGTAATTAGAGAAAAATTGGTAGAAGCAAGATTTAAGTAACACCTATTAATACATTTAATAGGTTTGCAAAAACTGTAAGTTTTACTACTTAATGAATCATAATTTCAATGCTTTTATACGTAATTTGAATTTACAGTACCAAATTCACTGCTGTGCTGATTCAGTCGTAGATAATTTATTTGTTGGTACTGGCAAATATTTTGACTGCCTTCAAGTTACCTCAATACAAAATAGGAATAACTAAATGAGGAGGTGGAGCAGTCTTGCATCCTTCATGATATTCAGGTAAAACAACACCAGGTCTTGGCCAGAATTTGAAGACAACACACCTTTGATGACAATGTGGATCTCACATGTCCTGCTGTTGCCAGAAGGATCCACTGCTGTGTACTGGACTGTTGTCTCTCCTTTGGGGAACAGATCTCCAGGTGCATGACTCCTAGTGATGGCCAGTGGACCACCTAGAAGAGTTGAAAGATAACCTAAAGGATTGGTAAGGAGAAGTGCTCCTCATACCCAACTCTGACAAATGGAAAAGGAAATGGCAGAAAATCTTCCAAATTATTTAAAAATAACTAAGTAAAAGGAACTTCAGCTAATCTCAAACTCCAAGGGATCAAGAGCAAAAGGAGCTCTCTGGCCTTCCACTGTCTCATGTATATTTTGGGGACCACTGTCTCACCTGAATTGTCCGAAAATTCTGGTTCTTCCCATGTCACTGAGTAGTCATTCTCTGCTGCTTGCACGGGTGGTGGAGATCTGCATCTGTCAACAACAGGAGGTTCTGCATCTGCAGAATTTGAAAGGATGGCATCACATTAGCTTGCAGAACTACTGCCAGACTCAAATAGCATCTCTAACCAGAACGGTAGCTTTAATTTCATATTGGAAGATACAACAAAGGTGCATACTTGCAAGTTACTGCAATTGGAAGATGCTGAGTAATTATTCTACTGATAAGAGTAATTATTCTACTGAATTTGTGGTTTCTGCGGTGTTTGCCTTCTCTGGAGCAAACCTTGGACTACCTGCAGGACACCTGAATAACACAACTGTCTGACAGAAATACTTGAATAAGGATTTGCAGCAGTGCAATATGTGTGAACTTTGGAAACTTTGTTGGAGTCTTTCAAGAAATAAATAGAGATTCATGATGACGGCAATAACTGACAATGCAATAATGCATTTAATAAACCAGGGTGAGGAGAAATGTTAACAGTCAGAAAGAACAGCAGAATACAATGCACCCCAAACTGAACATTGCAAGCAGTGACTGGACATATGCAAAGCCTTTATGGAGATATGCAAAGCCTTTATGGAGATGACAATATTCCTTTGCTTATAACTGCACACGAGAAGGCCAGTGACTCACAATCTCTTTCTGCACAAATAAGAAGGCTTCAGCTATGATAGACAGCCAGTGATTGTTACCAGCACTTACCAATAACCTTGACATTGAATGTGCATCTTGCTTCATTGCCTGACTTATCAGTTGCTGTGTAAGTAATGTCAGCTTCGCCAATTGGGAGAAGAAATGGTGGTATGAAAGCTGGGGTAACATGAACTGAGACCTGTTACAGGAAAACATTAATTATTTAAAAGCCAAAGCTGGTTACTAATCATAATATTCATGTTTTAAAAAGTGGACAGAATAGTATCCTTCAATGTCAAGCCTGTTCATTCTGAATGCAAATAGCCCCTCAAAGTAATGAGGACACACTTTACAACAGAGTGCTCTGTGCCCCTTCTTGAATCTGCCTTCCTTACAGCAACATGGATTTCCCTAATCAGGATCTTGACCCTGACCCGGTGCAGAT